AAAGTGGTTTAGGGAAAAAAAAGAGGATACGATTGTGATACAAAATGTACAAATTGGAAAATATAAATATATCAAGAATCATATATAGATAATAATCTAATTAAATCATCTAAAATATTAATAAATCTGAATCTACCAGAAACGATGGAGTATATGAATAAAAAAAAATTGTATAAACTAACGAAATTAAAAAGTTAAAATAAGTAATAAAATATTTCTTTGCCAATAAATATATTATTATTATTATTATTATTATTATTATTATTATTATTATTTTTATTATATTATTGTATTACAGACTGAGACAAAGGTATGATAAAAAAAACGTGTGATTTGGAAGAATCAAAATTTAAGTAGCTTAACATTAAAAAACAACAATAATATTTCTACATTTTCTACATTAAACTAACGTAATGGAATGAAAATACAAATAATTCTTTGGAGAAAAAGATATGATGATTACAATAGAAAAAGCACGAATAAAATAAGTATATCGAGATAACAAATATTTAGAATTAATACAATCATTAGTAACAACTTTTAATGTAATACCTTCTGAAATAAAATGGTAATTATTTGTATAATATTAGTTGACGGTATTGATGAAATGTATTAATTTTTATTCCTAAAGACTTCAGTTTCTATGAATGGTACTCATCGAAATATGATACAGTTGAAAAATAGAAGAACCAAAACCATCTAAATCAATAAATATAAATTAAAGATTAAAACCAAAAATATTCTATTATTATACATGTATATTTATTAAGTATATTAATTAAAGTAAGCATAATTTCTAACTTCTTTTACTAAATGATTTTTATTATTCAGAATGGATAATGATTTTCTATTTAATTTCACGTCTATTTGAAAAATGCTTCTTCTATTTTAAATTATTGAAGTCACGACCTGGGAAACGCCTGACTAGTAGTATTATATTATAATATAATGATATTCTATTACATAACATGATAAGTATTGTATACTAATTAGTAATTACAAACGAACACTTGGAATATAATTTTAAACACATTCAGGACCATTTTTTTGGTGGGGGGGTAGTTAAAATATTTTAAATACATGAATCAAATATCAATGGAATGATCCAAACCATCACTTATTACATATAATAATATATACTTAAAAATTTTGGGTGGTTTGAAGTTTTAAACCATATGAATACGTCTATATATGGGCTTGTTAATTGGTAGTCAGATGAAAATATGATGTCTGTGTGAAAGTCTGTAATGTCAATATTTAATACATCATAGAAGTTAGTTAGTTAGTTACTTTTATGAGAAGTTGATATAAGCCATATAGGACTGTAATGACGTTAATGTGTGAACTGCTGAAGGAATATTAATTCTGAAACCCCATTGATTAGTGTGATACCTATACCTAACAAGTTGAGTAAGTTCTCTGAAAAGTCAACATGAAGTCCACACGTGAATTCCTACAGAAGTTCTAGTTTAATATCTCATTTTAAATGTCACTCAATCTGGTGTCTGGCATCCGTAAATCATCTCAGAGAAGGCAAATAAACGTTGATTTGTAACTTCGATAGCCACAGTGAGATAACTATAATATGAGAATTTAATAGGTACTTACTTACTCATATAATATGACGTAATTATAGGTTGACCATATTTAAAAGAATAAAATACAGGACAAAAATATTATCATATTGTTTTTTTTTAATAATTTAATTTATAATATTTTTAAATTATGATGTATTTATTATATTTTTTTGTTGTCCATTAAGATAATGCTTACCTATTTATTTCACAATATGCTCACATTTGATAACTAACTGGTCACGCCGGTCGGTAAATATATTATTATACGTCCGGTTTACGTCTCCGACAACAATGTAATGTAACAATAATAATGGTAAAAATAAAAATCCAAAAATACAATTGAAAAGTATAGATTTTTATATTATTCTATTCAATGTCATTTCAAAAATTTCAAAAATTATAAATTAACAATAAGGCAAAAAACGGAATTAATATGGGACAGACTTGAAATGTAGGTATAAAAAGCATCCTGAGAGAAATTTGTGAGGACAACAGAACACAAAGCCGAAATAAAGGACATTCCAGATTAAAAAAGGACGTATGGTGACCCTATGTTACATAGAACAATGACTGAAATTGAGTCCCCTATTAAAAAGCAATATATTCTCGCTCCACCATATAACTCAACCAAAAATAGTTTTAAATAACTTTTAAGTATACCTACCCTACCTACTGTGTCGTCGGAACAAATCTAGTTTAGCACCCACGTGAATTTTACAACTTTTACTGTAGATTATATTTGTATGCCATCCTTAAAACATAATATTTAATTTATTAGTATGAATATTATAATACACTATTGTAAAATATAATTGTATACTAACCCTATGTAATACGATGGTATCGTGGGCAAAGTGGCTGACATGCAAGGCACGGTGTTGTACTTGGCCGGCCCAGGCGTACGCTCTGTACGAATCATCTTTTGCTTCGACGCCAACGAGGCGCCGATTATGGTGACCGGCCCTCGGTGGGTCATGTTGCTCAGGTTGTATTTTGGCCCTGGATTCCGTTGCAGACATATGATTCCCATTGTCGATACAGCAAATTAAAATTATTTATATATTTAAAATCAGTTTTCCAAGAAAGAAAAAAATTTTTAAATGGTTTTCATCACTTTGTTAGAATGTTTTTAAATGTCTTAGAAACGTTTAAAAACATTTTCAGCCAGCAAAGTTATTTGAAACATTTTTCAAAATAGTTTACTAATCCACTTATAGCGATCTTAAAGATAAAAGCGATCAGATCATTACATCCGAACTTCGTTATGTCCGGATGCCAAAGACTGCCAGCTACATAAAAGAAGTCAAGTTAGTGGCCGGGAATAGTTGTATCCAGAATATTATCGTAATAAGCGAAATCTCCAGAGACAATAAATATATCATAAATCTGTTTTTTTTACTAGACTCACAGAGACAATCATTACCTAAACATATTTTATTTTATAACTATCTTTAACTGAAACTTGGGGGCCCGTTGGACTCGCTGAGAGTGGGTACCGATTTTGGAATAGAATCGTTTGAATGTTAAAGGTCGCAACCGTTGTAAGTCGAAATTTTAGTATTTGTGATACGGACTAGTGATATGAATTGGCGATAAGGCTTGCCGCTTTGGCGGGAATGTTTAAAAGTTTGAGCGTCTTCCAATCAGTCATGAACTCCAGGATTGAATCCCTAGGATCACCTCCCGTTTGTCCGCTGATGGTTGTTAAAATTGTTAAAAAGTGTAGAGTCGATAGGTGTAGTCGGTATGCTATATTGCTATCGGTCATCAAATAAAATAGGCGGACAGTATGAGAACCCTATATTATCAAGTTTAAAAGTTTGAGCGTCTTCCAATCAGTCACGAACTCCAGGATTTGAATCTCTAGGATCACCTTATATTTATATAATTTAAAAAACAATCGAACCTAGATCTCTTTGATTGGTGAATAGATCTCCATAGTCCATAGATCATTCCTTTCAAGCAAAATTGTAGTTGGTATTTGATATATCTTTTCATGTTTATCGAAAAGTGGGATTTTCTTCAATTGTTATTAAAATTCAACATAAGAACTTAATTACTAAGTTTTCGTAATTTTGTGTAGTGATTAGGTTGGATGAATCATACAAATTATAGTAGATCGCTTACGACACAATCACTGAATATCTATGAAAAGTAAATTAATTTTGTCATTAAAAATGTATTACTTATATGCATTATGAGTTATGACCAGGGCTCGGGACTTAAAGCATGCTTATTTTTATTTATTGACTTAAAATGTAGCAGAGTACTATGGAAGTGTGTCATGTTCAATAATGAAATTTTAAAGTGCTTTTTTTTGGTTTTTTTCAGCGATTTTTCAAAAAAGTTCCTATTTCCCGTTTTTCTACTTATTTTATGATTTTCTTCTTCAAAGTTGTTTTTGATGGAATTAAAATTAAAAATAATTCTTATCTTATCTACGTGGTCACCTAGTCCGTCGTTGTCCACGGACTCGTTGCAAGCATAACCAGTTATTACCCGTTGAGGCTCTTGGATAGAGGCTGCAATTTATAATTTCGAACATTTTAGAACAATTCATCACGTAGTAAGTTGTCTAGATGAAAACGAAGCAAACAGCATTAAAAAATCAAAACTGTGAATGGAAAAATCGGGTTTAGAAGGTGACTTGGCATATATAAAAGTAATTTCGAAGTTCTTACTAAAGCCATTATAGAACTAAAAACAAAAATGTTTCATTGACTGGTTCACTTGCTGTGTTTGAAAATGTGAAACAGAAATTTTCTTTATTAAAAGGAAGTAGTGGAAAACCAGTTCTAACTAAACATCCATAAAATTCTCAAAATCATGAAAGTGAAGTTTAATTTTTTTTATAATATAAAGATAAAGATTTATTGTTTATTTTATTATTTTTTATTTTGAATAAATATTTTTGCTTAAATTTAAGTTTTTTAAATGCTTATTTGAGTGCGTATAATGATATTTTTAAGCGTTTATTTTAATGATCTTAACTGTATAAGTCCCGAGCCTTGGTTATGATTAACATACGGCTCTACATATATTAACTTTTAGACACTTTTTCTAAAGCAATTATAATTTTTAAAATTCTTATTTTTTGTCTAAAGTACCTACACCCCTATAATAGCTAATTTTACTTAAACATCATTTATTTACTAATTATATTTTTTTAGTTTATATAGCTATACCTAACCTTGATCTAAAATTTCTAAATAAGATCATTAAACATTTGATTAAAATATATTTATTTAACAGTGTCCTGAATACTTTTGATGATTATAAATACATTTCATAAAATTGTTCGTAAAACTATAAACCTCAACTTTCTCCTATATTTGTTTTAAGCTAAATTTTGTATACTATGCTGATTCATATGAAAAATATACGGTTCTTTAACGCCGTGGAGAAGTAACTCCTTCGTTCGGCCTACGAATCTTGTACGCCGTGGAGCGGCGTTATCGTATGCGATCGACGATCGTCGACACGATTCGTAACTGCTAAGGCTGCTATACTGCAGTCGTCGACTCTCGTCACGAGTCTGGAACGCCGTGGAGCGCCAATGTCATTCAGCAATCGTCGGTCGTTGTGACGGTTCTTGATGCCGTGGAGCAGCGATACTGTGCTGCTGGTCGTCGGCTGGTCTTTGTAGGTCTTCGGTGTCTCGGGTTTGGGCTGGTTTGCTTTAAATGTTGACGGTTTGAAGGTGTGAATCATACTGATTACACCTTTTTTTTTTGCTTTGCTTTGTTTTTAGTTTCCCTGTTCCAAGTTTTGATGCTTCTATCAGAAGGTTTAATGTGGGGCTTGAGATGGTTCATGAGTTAGGTATTTATTTGTTTAGAAGAAGAATTGGTCTGCTTATGAATAACTGTTTAGGTGAGGTTCTCCTGTTTATATTTGAGATGTGTGAGTATTTTGAATTTGAGATGGTGGATTTTAATTTAGTCTCTATGTGAAGTCTGATGGATGGAATTTCAGCAGGGTTCCTAATAGTTGTATTTCTTACAAACCATCGACTGTCCGTGATGGTTCTTAATATGCTTGATTGAGTACTCTCCAGTTTTTTAGAAGAATTTTAGGATATGTTGGAGGCCGTATGTAAACATTGACCTTATTTAGATTTTGTATATATGTAATTTCATTTTGAGGGGGATCTTACTGTTTTTGTTGGTAACTGGCAGTGTTTTGCAGCTTTAGTTTTGTTTATTAAGTTTGTGATGTGGGAAGTGAAGTGGAGTTTGAAGTCAATTATTACTCCTAGGTATTAGGCTTTGGTGGACCATTTTATGGTGTTGCCTTCCATTTGTATGTTATTTGTGTGATAAGGTATTTTATTTGCGTACAGGACTGCTGTGGTTTTTGTAAGATTTATTGTTACCTTCCAATCTTTGAACCATGTGTAGGCTAGGTCTATTTGGTTTTGTAGTCTTTTAACCGCGCAGTTGGTGGTGTGTCCGGAAGCGTAGAACATAGTATCGTCTGCAAAAAGAGCCGTCTTGGAATCTTTATGCTGGTGTCATGTCATTGATGTAAGTCGAGAAGAACTGAGGGGATAGGCAAGATCTTTGAGGTACACCAGAGAGTATGGGTCTACTTGATGACGATGAGTCGTTGACTCTTACTTCGAACGTGCTGTGTTGGAAGAACGACTCGAGTAGTTTAAGCAGCTGAATTGGTAATTGAAATTGTATGAGTTTGTAAATAAGGCCTTGATGCTGTTTTTGCCCTTTTTTTAGATTTATTGAGATTTCATCAACAATCTTGACAAGTTGGGTGGTGTTACTGTGGTTTGGGTGAAATCCAAATTGTCAGGGTCTTATATGGTCCTTTAGGTAGTGTTGCAAATGATTGAGGATCAATTTCTCATATACTTTCCAAAGCGTGTTCAACAATGAGATTGGTCTGTGGTTCACTGGTTGCTTGACGTCCTTTCCTGGTTTCCTGGTTTGGAATCGTGATGATTGTGGTGTGTTTCCATTTCTATTGGAAGTATTCCAGTCTTGTGCGGGCGTTCAGTATGTTACATAGTTGTAATAATACTTTCCTATCACAGTGTTTGAGACTGGCGTTAGTAAGTTGATCTACGCCTGGTGCTTTTTGACTTGGTATCTTCCTTATGGTGTATTTTTTTTTTCAGCAAAATCATTATCATTATTTCAATACAATAATACAATAGTCAAATTACAAAAGTTAAATTACCTACTACAATGATAGTGATAAGAGCTGATACGTATACCAACTGAGCAAGCTCGTTTCTGGTATACGGAGTTCCTACACATATTACTTATATAATATAATAAAATAAAATGTCATGTGTCTTATACAATTGAGAATGATGTATTTTACTTCTCTAAATAACATTATCTTATAATTATATAACTAAACAATACTAATAGATAATAATTTATATTGACACATAGATACTTTTTAATAATTGATTTTTACACACTTTCTCATCTAGGTCAAATTTCGCCAGGGGAGAAGAAAATTCTCTTGGGGAATGGTAATTTAAAATGATCGTAAATGGCATTCTCGAATAGTTCGTCAGTCTGGGTCGTGTGGTCTGGCGTTTGGAATTGTTTTTCCATTGAATTAGCGAATATTTCCGATTTTGCAACTGCATCATAGTGCAGAATATTTTGATTGTCCGAAGTGGATGTACAGCTGGTCGTTTATACATGAGATTTTTTGTTTAGTTTGTAGATCATTGTCCAGCGTTCACTTGTGGGGCCGATTTTTCTCAGAAAGTTGACCCATTTGTTGTCCCTGTGTGAATGCATTAGATCGTGTAATAGAGCTGTTTGTCTGTTGAGTAGCGTCTTAACGTCTGGGTTTCTTGTATGATGCCAGTTTTTTCTCAGTTTGCGTTTTATGTGGATTGCATTTAGGATGTTGATGGGCAGGTTGTGGGTTTGATCTTTTGGATTCGTAACATGGGTGTTATTGCCAACGAGTGCAGCTATTTTTGTTGTAAGTTCAGTGATGGCTTGGTTAACGTGTTCTGAAATTTGCATTTTCTTGAGATCAAAGATTAAATTTTTAGTATCGAGATTGAATTTGATTCAATCTGTATGTTTGAAAGCTTTTGGTGGTAGGGTTTCAGTGCCTTGGGCTTATAGTTCAAGAATGATAGGGGTGTGATCGGAAGAAAGTTCAGCTGTGAGATTTTCTATTGTGTACCTAAGTTTCTCTGTTTTAAGAATAGGTACGTCCAGTATATCAGCATTGTGATTTGGGTTGTCAAGATTGATTGGGTGAAGTCAGGGCCGCTATGGTTAGGTTAGGTTAGCTATGGTTATATCTCGTCTCTTGTCTGAGAATTTGGCGAGCGTGCTTCTTGCTGTGTTTTGTCTCCTGCTGTTCCAGGATTGATGTTTAGCTTTTAAGTCACCGGCTACGACGACGTAGTGGGAAGTATTAAGCAGAGAGGTCCGAGGTAAGTAGTGGAGTATCAGGTTTTTTGTAGACCACTGATAATCTTAATTCATTGTTGCCTATTTGAATTTCTATTGAGGTGTTTTCTATTAAAGATGTAGTGATCTTAATCTGATATTGAACGATTTGACGATTAATAAGTATGGCTGTGCTTCCCCATGCAGGATGTCCAAGCCATTGGGGACGATTAGTGATGTAAGAGTGGTAGTTTGGAAGTTTGAATTGTTGGGAGTTGTTAAGATGTCTCATTCAGTAGAATAATGTCGATATTTTTTCTTTGAACTAATTCAAGGAGTTCTAGGCGTTTTTGGAGACGCCCCCGGCAGTTCCAGTATAGGATACGGAGATTTTTAGACATTTTGGATAATCATGACCATGACTGAGAGGGCCGACATGATTGTTTCCTTAATATCTGTGGATGAGGATACTTTTTGTACCGTATCTTTAAGAAGCTTGGTCAGTGAATCTTTGGAATTGCTGTTAGGTTTGTCCGAGTAGTTTTCAGTAGTTGATGCACAAGAGGAGGTTGAATTGCTGAGTTCCTTAACTGATGGTGTAGAATTTTCCGTAATGGATGGTGATGATAATTTAGCTGCTGTGTTGTTTGTTTTGGATTTGAGGGTCATTTGAGCTAGGAAAACAGGGCATTGTCTGAAGTTTTCTGTGTGTTCTCCTCCATAGTTGCAGTATTTTGGAGGTTTTTCTACGGTTTTGGTGCATTCCCTTGTTTGGTGGGCACCACTGCATTTGACGCAGCGGGCGGAGTATTTACAGTTTGCTGATGAGTGGCCGAAGTTTGGGCAGTTGAAGCATTGAGAGGGCCCAGAAGCTCGAAATTGTTCAACTGTGGTTGAGATGTAGAAGATTGATGTCAGATTGAATATTTTCTTGTTGGTTGGATTGCAGGAAAGAGTGACCACGTACATTGGTAGTGGTTTTCCATTTTTAAGGAATTTCTGATGTGGGTTGTTTCAAAACCAAGCTCGGAAAGTTCGTTTTGAACGTATTTTACTAGTGTGTTGCTGGGTATTATCCGATGGTAACGAAAAGGTGTGGAAATGTATTTTGGCTTTTTAAAAAAAGTCTTGAGCTTGACGAAAGATGGCAGAGTTGGTTGCTAGTGCATGGATGTTGTTGTTGATAAGTTTGGCCCTATATTTATCATTTGGAAATAGTGACATGATTTTTGGGGCAGCTTTAATCCAATTACTTGGTTCTATAATGTTTGGTGGAAAACATGAGGTAATTCAATTTCTGACCTTGAATTTTTTGACTCGCTGTAGTCCCAGTTGTCGTCTGAGCGGATAGTTGTTGAATAAAGAATTGGTGACTTCGTGGCGATGGAGTATTCGTTTTGGAGGGGGTCGATGACTTTGGTTCTGGACGCTGAGGTCCTTCCTGGGGTCTGAGCATCATTAGAGTAGCTCCTTGGGCTGTTTAAGAGTTGGCTATTTTGGTTGTTGGTGCTGTGACGTGAGCCACCGCGATGGTTGCAAATATCGGTAGGTAGGTTGTGAGATCTGTGCTTTGGGTGCAATTGCGGTGCGAGACCGGCTGCGTGCATCCCTCAAGTGCACTTGCCTCGTGGTCTGTGGAGGTGTAGTAATGCAAGGTACTTACTGTTTTCTGGTCTATCGTTGAGGTGAAAGGACGTTGTGCTTCTGTTGAAACAAGTTGAACTGGTGCGTACGATAAATTTTAGTGATTCTCATTAAGAGTTGCCCCCGAGATCGTACGATGCTGCTACGCTGAACGTTGATAACACCAATTGCAATTTGCTTTGGTGGGACGGCCTTTGGCCTGTTTAAAAGCACCAGGCTAAGCCTTTTCTCTCTGAATGGTGTTATTTAGTTGATAGGTTTTTGTCTGTTCATGGGACTAGGCATGATAAGTGTGGATATTTGCTCCTTAAAAGTGAATGAGCAAGGTTCTTTGATAGGTGGAGTGCTTCGTTTTGGAGGGTTTCGATGGACATTGAGTTCCGTATGTTTACATTTGAGACCAGGTAATGGGCGCCGGTCATGGTACGTAGTGCTACGGACTGGAAGATCTCAATCTGTTTCCAAGATGATCGGCGAATTCTGTTTCTCCAAACAGGAGCTGCGTATAAAATAATGGGCTTAAGGTATATTTTATATATTATCAGTTTGTTAGCCAGCGGAACAGTGCTGTTTCGGTTTAGGATCGGATGTAGTGCAGCCCGGGCACCGCGCGCCTTTCGGATGGTATTTTGGATATGCTTGTCGAAGCTTATGTCGTTGTTGAAGGTGACTCCAAGATATTTTGCGTGATTGCTAAATTCGAGATGTTGGTATTGTAATTTTAACTTCATGGTGTGTTTTTGGGATCGAGGCCCAAATATCACTGCTACCATTTTTTATACGTTTAATTGAATTCTCCATTTGGTGAGCCAGTCGTTCGTGATGTCCAATTGTCTTTGTAGCTTGTATACTGCATATTTGTAGTTATGGTTGCTCGTGTAGAGAAGGGTATCGTCCGCAAAGAGAGCCAGTGTGACTGCTCCTATGGTCGGGAAATCGTTTATGTAGACTGAGTATAAGTCCGGTGATAGACATGACCCCTGAGGGACACCCGCTTCTATGTTACGAGATGTAGATGGGTGATCAGATATTTTGATTTTGAAATAGAAAGATTCAATGAGTACTACAAGTGAGTGAGGAACGTTTGAGAGTGTTAACTTGTGGATGAGTCCTTGGTGCCACACACAGTCAAAGGCTTTCGCCACGTCTAGGAAGACGGCTACAGTTTTTTCCCCCTTCTGAGACCTTTGGTTCAGGTCGTCAGTCAGTGTGATTAGCTGTGTGATCGTAGAGTGGCCAGTACGGAAAGCGTGTTTTTCACATCTAGTTTTTACATGGATGTTGAGTTTACGTAGTATTATTCTTTCAAATATTTTAGACATGGTGTTGAGGAGTGATCTAGGCCTATGATTGTCAGGAATTTGGTGATTCTTCGTGGGTTTTGGGATCATGACAATTTGAGCTTTTTTCCACTGGTCAGGGAAGTAAGAGAGTCTGAGACATGACGTGTAAATGTTCGCTAGGAATATAATTGCAATTTTTTGAAGGTGTTTTAATGCCTTGTTGGTAATGCCATCCTCATCTGGTGCTTTTGCGGAAGGGAGTCCTTTTATTATGAAAGATACTTCTTTCGGCGTAACATAGTCTTCGGATGGAGGATTTACAAGGTCGCGTAGTCTTTGGATTGAGTTGGTGACTTCAGGTGATGGTGGGCCCGGATTGTTTTGGAACTGGGCTGACATTGTGTCTGCGAAAAGTTCTGCCTTTAAGTTAGTGTCGTAGATTTTTGTCCCATCAGGTGCTTTGAGAGGTTGACATGCTGGTTGTTTGTGGAGGAGTCGTCGGTTCAATTTGTATATAGATTTGTTTTTAAAATTGAGAGTGGCAGTAAAAGAATTCCATTCAGATTGTCTGTGGCGAGTAAGGATATCTTTGACATAGGAAACCTGTGCGTTGTACAGCGTTTTCACCCGAGGGTCAGTTGCCAGTTTTTCCGTAGTAAACGCTTGTTATCAATCTCAAGCAGTATGTCATCAGGTAGTGATTTTGGTTGGTCTAGTGTTCGCGATTCTTAGGAATAGTTTTTGATCTCTGATTGTATGGCTTTGGTGAGTTGGTCGATGTTTTTGTTGATGTCATCGATGGTGGTGATGCGAATGTTTTTTATTTGGGGAGTTAGTTCGGTTTGGAACTTTCTCCAGTTTATACGTTTGCTTGCTGATTGTGGCCCGCTCATTGAAGGTCGGGATGATAGGTTTAGCATCTGAGGGTTATGGTCTGAAGATAATTCGCAGTGATTGGTTAGGAGGTAGTGTGTGTTTGGCAAGTCTAGCAGGAAAATATCGAGGATGTCTGGTCGATGGGCCGTGATGTAGGGATAGTGAGTTGGTGAGTCAGAGCCAACGACCGAGTATCGGTTTACCGCTCGGCATGTTGTGCAAGGTTGTCTTGCCTGATTTGTTACGTTGTGGGCAGTGCCAGTCTGTGTGCTTAGCATTTAAGTCGCCGCCAATTATGAGAGGACCATCGTGGTTGGTCAGCGCGTCTAAATCTGTTGGTTTGAGTGTAACGCCCGGGCTTTTGTATACTGCAGTTACCTGGGCAATGTTGTTTTCGAGTTTTATATTAACCGAGGTCGAGTCAAGCTCGGTTTGAATATTTACGGGTCGATGTACAATGCCACGACGGATAAGCACTGCGGTTCCCCGTTTGGAGGGGTTCTTGGCGATCTGTAAGGTAAGTATGAACATTTGGGATTTTGAGCTGTGTTTTGTGGTCGAGGCGGGTTTCTCCAAGCAGGATTATATTTACGTTGTGAATTTTTACAAATGCTGTCAGTTCTGATATTCGGTTTCCGATACCGTTTCAGTTCCATGATAAGATTTTTAGGTCATTCATCATGGGATGTAGGGATGGTTTATGATTCTCAGGACTGTTGTGATGACTGCATTTTTTGATGTCTTTTTTGATGTCTTCACTTTCTTGAGTTGTTGTAAGGAGGTCTTTGATTATTTGTAGGAGCTTGGATGCGTTTATTGTGGGTTCGGTCTTTTCTGTTTGGTTTTTTGTTACATTCGCGTAAGATTTGATTTTTGATGCTATGGTGGTTTCGTGTGTTGCGGGTAGTGGTATAGGCGTTGGCATCGTTGTCAGCACGAATTTGATACTTGCTTCTCTGGAGTGGTCTATTTTTCCTTTGTAAATATCTGTGTAGTATGGGCAGCCCCTATAGTTTGCGGTGTGTTTCCCATTACAGTTGCAGCAGGTTGGAGTATCTTCTTTCGGTTTCTTGCATTCTTTGTTTGAATGGTTTTCTCCACACTTAACGCATCTTGGAGGGTGTCTGCACTGAAGTGATGAGTGGCCAAATCTCTGGCATGAAAAGCATTGGGCGAGACCCGTCGATTTATATGGTTCTATTTTTACTCGGACGTAGAAAAGTTCGGTGATTTCAAATATTTCTTTCACATTTTCTGTGCGTTTTAGGGAGACCATGTGGATTGGAAGTCTTTTATCATTTTTTACAAAAGCACGGACAAAATTTGGTTTGAAACCTTCCTCTAGAAGTTCTTCCATGAGTTCATCATGATAACACCTTGTAAGTGTACCGATATATATACCCGTTGGGTGATATGAACCGGTGCTGATTAGTTGAAACTATCTGTTATGACGAGGAATCAACGAACCGTTGGTATGTCATCATAACTTGCATCGTCATTATGATGATGTTTACTTGCGTGGAATCGGTTTTTTTGGTTTGTGTCTTCCCCGCCATATGTGCTTAATTAATTTATCATGTTGGGTTTTGTAACTCGATAAATGCTGTTTTCAGTATTTGTTCCATAACACTAGTCTGATTTTTGCCCTGGAATGCGGTTGGACGGTGAAGAGAAACAGAAAGAGAGATTATGGTGATGTATAACTAACCTAACCTAACCATTCTGTGTTTGCAATCAAGCGAGGAGCACGGAATTTTGTACTTCGTATGGAATATTTATACAACATTTACACATCCACTAACCGAGTTCACCTCGGCAAGTCAGTAACAGAATGCTACTGGAGTCGAAAACTACGAGTAATGACCAGGAGTTTTGAAACTCTGTGACATGACGAACCAGAACCCTCGAAAAGGGTTTGGAGATCTCTGAAGTTCTGAACCGTAGACCGACGGTTAGAAAAGAAATGCTCCGGAGAAAAACTTTGGTTGCCCGCAGATAACATTTTGGAGTGAACAGTGTCCGGTGAAAAGCAGATAAATATGCGATCTCACATACACTAATTAAAACGGTCTTTTTCAGAACCAACAACTCATAGCTAAAACCACGTACACAATTTGACGAGAAAACGGGTTCTACCAGCGGCGTAACCAGGGGGGCAGTGGGACATGCCCCCCCCCCATCGGCCGTATCAATGTTTTTGCATAATTTATTATATTATACGTATAAAAATTCGTTGAATTCACTTTTGCTCTTAATCCTCATCAATCTGTTTGATAGCAATGTTTTTTTCTTTTCAGTTTTTATCAAATCGGTTGTTAATATTATTATTGTGGTGACTGGTTGGGCCATAACTGCAATACCACAATATTTCCTCCCGGAACAAATTGTACAAATGTTTTAAATAATGTAAAATTACTACTAAAATTATTTGCAACTCACCAGTTACATCAAAGACACCGGAACGCACATTTTCAACTTTTAAATTATTAAAGGATTATTTACGATCAACAATGAACGAAGAGAGACTTATAAATGGGTTAGCTATGGCAAAGATAAACAAATTCAAAAAAATCACAGAAGAAAAAGTAACCAAAGTCTTTTCTTCAAAATCTCATTGGTCAAAATTAAGTTAAATTTAAATTTAATTATAATAAAATAAAAATGTGAACTCTTATTATTAATTGTTGATTTTGTTTTCTAATCTGACATACTGACAGCACATGACAAGAAATCGATCCAAATCGTCGAATTCAACATTCCTGTCACGAAGCCTACACCGGACATCGTTCCCAGTCAAGACGAAACCTACGATACACTTCATAAGTAAAATCAATCATTAGTCCTCCCCCCAACTATACCACGAGACAAGTCACCTGAAGGAAGACGTTGCTGGGTTGCGCACAGAAGCGTAGGACAGCCCAACCACATGAAAAAGCCAGAAGCGCTGGAAAAAACAACAATAAGCGCACAGCAACACCTCCATCATACGATACCATTAAGAGAGGTAGAAGCCAAACCTACTCACCACCTCAATTACGAATCAACAAAATCCAAAACGCTAAAACCAAAGCTACCCAAAACACAAATGTTTTGACAAACAAAAATAGCTAACTGCAAACACCATGCAGAAAACGTCCACACAAAGCTCTAAATCCTCACCACCAAAACACCAAAACAAAGCCATAACTGAAGATAATACAAATTATAAACAAACATCACCTACAACAAGCGAAGATGATGATGACGACATCAATTCCACGCACTCTACATCGTCGCAGCCACATAAAATCAATCCTAAAAACACACTGCAAACTATAGGAAAAATTAATTTAAAATTTTGGAAAAAACCAAGAATTTATAATTTCTTTATAAGAGGCTTTTAATAATGCTTATAATTGATTATCGATATCGAAAGACATTTTATCAATACGAGCTTTCACAGTATTATTCGATAATGGAATTCCTTGAATTTTCTTTTTAGCTTCCGCACCTAAAATTTCTTCTACGGCAGTTAGTGAACAAGGTTTTAATAAATATTCACCAATTGTGTGTGTGGTTTCTTTGATTTTTCGATTAATTGTGACATTTTAAATGACGCAGTTAGAACTTTTTCGTTTGACTCAAATCTTGAACCACTTGTTCCTAGTTTAATTTTTTTTAAATTTTTTGATTTACCCATGAGAAACTCTGGTGGTCGATCACTTAATTTAGGATGGACACTTTTTAAATGCCGTTCTAACTTGGCGGGTTTCAACGCATCGTTACTGAGAACGGCGGCACATATTACACACTATCGTCGAATTTCACGTTTAGTTTCGATTGCAATAAATCCAAATTTTATGTATCCATCGTCATACTTTCTTTTCAGAGCCATATTTCGACAATTTAACACACGAAAAATTAAAAAGAGCACAAACGTCGATTACGAAATACGGATATGGACAAACTAACAACAAAAACCAACAATATTATACTCAACTTTGAACATAATCTGTTAAATTGTGACGATATAATCTTATCTTAATGTAACAATGTAAAAAAAAGATTAGATTATAGGTTGAAATAATAACATGGGTTCACTATGTAATTTAAATTTATAAATAAACTTATTTATAAAAATATTTTTAAATTTTGGAAGTATGGCTCGCGGACCACCAGTGGTCCGTGGACCATAGGTTGGGAACTTATGGTGTACATCAATGACATGCCAAAAGACAGCGAAACTAACATTGCACTATTCACGGATGACACAGTGTTCTACGCTTCCGGAGCAACGAACAACGCAGCGATAAGAAGGGTACAAAAACAAATCAACCTTGCCGTTCCTTGGTTCAAGGAATGGAAAATAACTTTAAATCCCACGAAAACCAAGGTAATAATTTTTACCAACCAATCTATGTACCAAGCACCATCTTTAAATTTCGTAAACATACACTTAAGCTGGTCCAAGACTTCAGCCCGCTTCCTCTAAAAACCAAATTGTATTTATATTAAACCAATATTACTTTATGCCACCCCCGCGTGGGCACAAAACATAACTAAAACAAGCTGAACTAAGCTGGAGGCGTTCCAGTCAAAAACACTGAGGATGGTAACGGGCAGTGACTGATTCATCTCCAACTATGTAATAAGAATGTCATTGAACATGCCATCAATAGATAACACTATAAAAAGCAAGAGAACTAAAATCAAACAAAAAATAGCACACCCAAACTTCGAACACATCAACGAAATAATAAACAGAAAAAGCCATAAAGAACGATTCAAGAGAAGACTACTTACCTAACCTAACAATAGATAAGAAACTCCAATAAACAAACTCTACAATAACACTCCATACTATCTAGAAGAAGTGTAAAAGCTTGAAACAGAGTAGGTCTATACAAAGCAAGCTAAAAGTCAGAGAGTACCAGTCTGCGCCAAAGTTCCAAATCATCAAGAACCTGAGAAAAATGTTCGGTGCAGCAACACAGAGTTCGCAAGCAGTTTGACTTGAAGTTCTTCGTTCGTTGAGGAAATAACCACTGAATCCGTCACGAGATATGAAGAGAAAATAATTTAAAAAATTTCGCATAAAACGAAGAAACCTAGACGAGGAGGTTTTCAATGAACACATGAAGAACCATTTCAAACGAATTGAAGACTGCGGATTGGATGTGGACTAAAATATATGTTACGGGAAAAAAGACCTAAGTAAAACGGTCCTTTTCAGGACCAACAACTCATAGGTAAAACCACGTACACAATTTACCCAGAAAATGATTTCTGACATTAATTTAAACCCGGATCGAAAGACACGGCAACGGATATGATGGGTGTCGCTTTCATAAACAATAAATAAAAAAAGATAAAAGAGTCCTCAAACATCATACATCCATTAAAAGGACGTTTCACGGAGGCATGTCGCCATACAGCGTTTATTCATTTATTCTCGTATAGGCGTGTAAGTTGCAAATAGTTTTGATTTATTTATTACTTTGATTTTTCGGGGCACCGTAAATGTCCGGAAAATAATAAGGCGGACTGTAAAAATCCGGAATTTTTCCGTAATGTCACGGACCATTTACGGAATTTGCTAATGCGACATGAGCGCTATCTAGTAGCATACATAATTATTTGTTATAGAAATACTATTTACCATTTGATTTTGCAATGATGTATGTCTTTTTTAGTTTTTAATTTTTGTGTCTTTCATCACTGTTTGGGGGCTTAGCATATAGGGGGGGGGGCTTAGCAATACCACTAATAACTGATGACTTATTATAAAAATATAAAATATTCAATATTTATAGCTAAGTATTGAAAATTTAAAACAAAGATTCTAATAAATAGTTCAGACTATTACCAAAGATAAATAAATGATATTATAAAAACACAGTTATTTTTTACAGACATTTTTAATTTAAATTTCGATGAAAGTACATATTATTAAAACTAAGAATAACGATTTTAGTTATTTTGTTGTAACTTAAAAATATTACTCTTGTATATATGAAACTTTTATAGTGTATTATTATATTTAATACACAATATAAGATTTTCAAATGTAAATTTTTTGGAAAAAATTAATATAACCTACCGTAGTACCTATATACTAATGCCCAATACTACAATTATTATTAATTACTTTAATCACAATAATATCATAAAAATATACCTACTTAGTAATATTATCGTCTGATAGACCGTCTTCCCTCTGAACCGTTATTCCTGCACAATGGTTTTATATCATTGCATTTAAATTTAACATCACCCACTTGTAACCTACTGTACAGCAGAGCGACATCCACTTACCCACTTTTTTATATTTTTGTTCTAAAAATTAAAATATTTTCATTGCTTCAATACCAATCCTACTTATCCTAGTATTCTAATATATAAAATTAAATATAGTACTTTAACCAATAGCAAGTAGTAATCTATACATTTATACCATATACATTAACAAAATAGTAGGTATTAGATTTTCGTGATCTAAAACGAAATTCGATTTCGAACCACAGCAATTAGCAATTTCTTCAGGTTAAAAGAAAAAGATCTAAACACACAAAAATTTGGATAAGTAGTTCCAGAGTTTATCAAGTAGGAAGGTATACCTACTAACAAACTCAAAATTATCTTTATATAACAGCATAATATTACATATTAATTATAGAATATAATATTTAATAAATATCACAGTAGATTTGTTTTTAAACATAATTCAAATACAAATTGAATACTATTTAATACTATAATTGTATTTGTTACCTATTTATTTGTTTTAATTTGATTTCATAACATTTTCAAATGCATTATGGAAAAATCACCTAGTTACGTACCTACATATTTACTACAAACTATAGGGTTTATAAAAAAAATATTACACAAATAATAGATTTCCAGAAATATTATTTGTTATACATTGATGTATTAATATTTTATTATTTTATATTCTTTGGTAACTTAAAAGGAGCCGCAAAGAAAGTAGAAACTATAGCATAAGTCATAATTTAAGAATAGATAATATTATATTGGTACGTAATATCTAGTACGTCCGTAAGGTTACAAACAAATGTAGGGGAGACCAGAGCAAAACGCATAGGTTAACTTTATGTGTCAAAAAATGGTGTCCAAACTATTATTTTAATAACTATTTATTAATATAATCATAAATTGACTTCTCAAATCCATTATTTATTCCTTCAAAAAATGTAATTATATCACTCAATTAATAATAAAATGAAAAATTTTTAAAAGTGAAATTTTATTCACTTTGCTAGGGCATAGTGAAAACATATGGAGGGCAAAGTGGTAAACTATGAGATAAATAAATAATTTACGTTAATCCATTTAATAATTGTATAATATGAATACTATACAGTCGAATCCGCTTAATTGGGACACATCGGGTGGTGACCTATTTGTCCCCATTATCCCGACTGTCCCGATTAACCGAAGAATTTTACATGCAATTCGTTCGGGACTGTCATGAATGTTCCCTTTAAGCGAATTCTACTGTATTTCACATCAAGTGTACACCAAAGCGTTCGTTTTGAAATAGAGTAGTCGTACACGATGTTTGTTTTAAAAAAGTGTTACATCAATGTACACTTTTTTCATACCGATCCAAGAACAGGTGTAGGAGATCATTATCATTTCTTATCAGCGTATAGTTGATTCAGTAATAAATTCAGCTGATTAATGTACACCCATCACGAACTAAGATATACCTTAAGGTGACACATATTATATTTATGAATGATAAATGTTATATTACTGACTCAATCTTCTTAACACATAGGTATTACTTTAAATTAAATATTAGAAAATACAATGAACATAAAAGAAAATAACTCTTTTTTTGATAAATAACCAATGATTTTGGTAAATAGAATACATGCAAAACTATATCGATACCTTTAAATATTTTTTTATAATAAGGCATCTGGAATATTTCCTACAAAATTAAAAAAAACCCTTATCATTTCTTCATATAAATCAGGGGCTTCTGAAAATATTACTGATTATAGACCTACCTCTCTCAGTCTCTCACTCTGTCTATTTCAAAAATGTCTTAAAAATAGATTAGTACAAATTTTAAATTATCATAATTTTTTTTCTAATAGTCAGTGTGGGTTCAGGAAAGGTAAATCTAACTAATGGTGATCTACTGCAGACTTCATTCAAGTCTGGATAAAAGAAATAAGGTAATAGGCATGTTCCTTGATTTGAAAAGATCATTTGATTCGTTGGTCAACTATAATATTTTTTATAAAGAAATTAAAGTATTGTGGTATCCGTACAATTGTTCTATCACTATTCTCATCTTTCAAATAAACACTAAGCACAGGTAGTTAGAATTAATGAGTGCTTTAGTTATTCAATTTCTGTTAACTGTGGTGTTCCTCAATGTACCATCTTAGGACCTATACTATTCCTTATATACATTAATGGACTTATTAATTTGAAAATTAATTGTAAGGTAATTTGTTTTGCAGATGATACATTAGTATTACCTTAAACTTGATAATATTGACAATCTATATAGCTTAGCTAATAAATGTATCAACAACATTAAAGCCTGGTTAGATAAAAATGTGTTCACAAATAATTTACAATCCAAGCGAAGACAATCTAACCAAGGTTACCAAACAATTTTGGCAAATTGTCATTTATTTATTTTTGTTTTTCTTGATTACTTTAAAAAGTACTGAGAATTTTGAATTTTAACATCCTAAAAGTACTAACTAGATCCAATTTGCTTCTGAAAACCTCCATCGAAGTTTATGACCAGAGCATTTTTTCTACGAGATGTGCATATATATATATTTACAATATATTCTGGTTGCTCAAGCAATAGAAAATAAGCACCCCTTGAATATAATATGTCCTATTAATGCCACTTGCTAGCGAAAAAAAATATTTTATAATCATCAAAAAAAAAAAAATAAAGACTAGTCACCATTAAAAGTAACTGTGACTTAGATACTGATTACCAAGCCATACTAGAGGTCACCCTAGATAAACTAATATAATAATCTATAGTGTATGATGGTTAGGTACTAAATAAGTTAAATATGTATTATGTATAAGGTTGGAATTCTATTATTCCTTAAAACACTACCTACCTAAATAACATAATACTTGATGAAGAATATGCACTTTTTCAATAAAATATATTAATATTTTGTTCAGTAGACAGGTAGACAGGTTAGTACAAGCACATATGATTCATATATTGACCAATACCTTAGCTAGGTATAGAAATGTATATTATAAATATGCAATGCCCATAGTATAATGTAGGTACCTAGTTTTGATTGTAGGTTATATGTGTAGGTAATAGGTATATGTTATATGTTATATATTATGTTATATGTATCATTTGGTGCTGTCAATGAGTGACTTCACATTTCCATCAATAAACTATAGGTAATCAAATTTAGCCATTGTATAACTTGTAAATACAGATTGTAAATATACTAAATT